CAGAAATTACTCACTAAATTGTAAGAGTCCTTTATCATTACAAACATACTATATGAAACATATGAATTATAGTTATGCTTTGCTAAACATACTACTTACACAGAAAAAGGTTTTACACTCGATACAAACGGGTTTTTCATATACTGCATGATAAACTAAAATAGGAATAGTTTATCGATTTCACATCATGAATTTATTACACAAAGGGAGATTTCACTTCCACCACGGAAAAGGTTTTACATTCAAACTATACGTAAACTCATTAACGTAAGTTGTGAGACAATTCGTCAATTGTACTCTTAGAGTACGGGTTAAAATTCCTGCAAGTTATAACCAGAGTCTCTTGTAGGGAGAGCGTGATAATTGTGTATAGATCTATATTGGGATTGACACCCCACACCTCGCTGCTAGCTACAGTAGGACCTGCAGGTCTACGGGTGACAAAAGTCATAGGATCTTGACGTCTGAAAAACGTTGTAGCATGTTCATTCTAGTTATAGTATGGTTATAACGACTCACATAGGGAGTTAACAACATTTCCAGTTTACGGGAAAATTCTGCTTTAAAAAGGGGTTTTATCTATCTAAAACTACAAACACGTTATACGTACAAAATATACACATACTCTCGGTCTTGGGATTTAAAACTACATGACCTTTATAAGGAAAATATTGGATTTTTCTTGGGTACACATTACAATTTCAAACACGTTATAAGTACAAAATACACACATACTCTCGGTCTTGGGATTTAAGACTACATGACTTTTTATAAGGAAAATAATGGATTTTTCTTGAAGCATACATTACCATTACAAACAAAGGTTTTCAAACTCTACGTCCAAAAGCTTATGAACTCACCAACTTAATTGTTGACACTTTTTCAAAACTATTTGTATTCTCATGAAATCAGTAAAACAGGTAAACCGCAGCTTTTGAGGATGGGATACTAAGGCGTCAAATAGTTCATTTTGTCATCATAGTGTAATTGATTTTGGAATATGTAAACTCATACTACGGTGTAACTTTTTCAATTATATTATGATGGTTGTATTTGCTTTGGTCACTATTATAATCGGTGTTATGATACTATACATGAAGTCCACCACCCCCGGACGTTTCCGCCGTCCTTGGTTTGGGGGTGTGACAATTATAGAAAACAAAAGTTTCACTTTGCAAAGTTGCAGGGGTTGAAAAGTTGTTCTGCTATAATTAAGGGAGAGAATATTATACTTCATTTCAAATCCAAAAGCTTAGATCGAGAAATTTTAATTAAATTTAGTCAAAGGACATATATGGATGTTATGTTGAAAAGGTTCAACTTAAAACAATTCTATATATGGCAATATTATAGCAAGAAACTTGTAAAGTATCACGTTTTTTATTATGAATTGTGTCCCATACGCTTCGAGTATAGGATCAATTGCATATGTTGTAATATTCGAACGTTCTAAATTTTCCAAATTCCTAGGGCATTAAGAGGGAAAAGAACTAGAACCGGATTTGACTAAAATAACTAAACGACTGTCAAGGACAATCTAAGGTTCGCCAAGGATTGATCACTTGTGGGCAGTTGGAAGTATAGTAACGAATGGACCATACTGACATTATTGTCGTATGGAAAATATGGAAATGTTTTCATATTGGGAGTTAAGAATCTATGTCTAGATTAGAAACTTTTATGCAACAAGGATGGTCAAAGGAATGTACTTTAAATGTGAGACTTCATATCTATGGAATTGTCTTGTAACAATCTCCAATAGAGCACTTTGTGAATTCATTGGCAAAGTCTTGGTGACCTTGAAGCTATGACATTACAAAGAATCATTGCATAAAATGTTAGAATCTAACATATTCTAATAGTGGCAAGAATTTGGTATTCTTACACTTATGACAACGATTAGGAGTTGTGAAATGAGTATCATTGGAAATGTCTTCAATTGATCTATTTCACAAAGTATGGATCATAGGAAACCAGAATGTGCATGCTTGGAGAATGGGACAACTGTTGTTATAATTCAAGTAATAAGTTGATTATCCGAAACATTATACAATGAATAATGAGTAATCAATATGGTGATTAAATAAAGGTGTTTTATTTATACTCAAAAATTTGGGGCCATATAAGATTAGTATTATTCATGTGTTTCACTTTGCATGTTTTGACTTCCCGAATAATAAGATTATTCAAACCTTCCACGGTCGATCATACTTTGGAAGTAGGTATGAAAGAAGACTGTCATGAATCTGACTGTAGATTGTCTAAAGCGTCTTAGACATAGCAAAAGTCTGTTGCAGTGTTCATGAGTACTCTTGAAATACGACGTGTGAGTTGTAGTCTGCAAGTCGGTTGCACATTGATAATATGTAAACGCACCAGTAACTTGGTGTTATAAAACATATTGTTGAGTGTTTTGATGAGTAGATACAAGCGAGCATTTGAGTCGAAGTTTATCCGTTCCTTTAACCCAAAGTGGGATAAAAGCGATATATGTGGGCTCCTCGATGATTTAGTGATGACACCCCTAAGCGCTTGACCAAGCCAGGACTAAGTTGATGTGTTCAATTGTAATCTGTTGTCAGTCGTCATAAATCGGAAATCGGGAAACAACACATGAACATAGAGTATGATTTAAATCCATGTCTCAGTTCATACGATATCTAGAATGGAGGAATATATGATCCCTTATCTAAAGGAAGCGTTACTGATAAGATTAGAGTTGACAGCGGCTTTTGAAAGCTACGATTGCTGATCAGGTTCTGAAGTCATAATTGCAAAATAGTTATTAGACTTATCCAAGTGGGAGACTATTGGATTAGGTGTCTAAGCCCATAACTATTTTGGTATGTACTTGACCGATTATGAGCATGGTCCTTTTGGGTTGCCTTCACCATAGCAACTGATAGGATAAATTGAGGAGAAAGAGGATTAATTATGATTTATTAATATATTATATGAATAATATATTAAAAGAGAAATCATATTGCTTAATTAATATTAGTCAAGAATTAATTAAGAATTAATTTTGTGGCTAAAAGAGATTTATTAAATAAAGGGGATTGATATTGTAATTATATGATAGTTGTAAGTTGGGCTATGGATTCCTAATGGAAAGGGCATTGGACGAAATCTATGGGAAGCCCATATGATTTCCTTCCAAGGGATTTCTAGAGGGACTCCATGGGTTGCTTAAGGCCTAAGCAAAGAATTAGGGTTTCACCTGAAACCCAAGCAGCCAACACAAGTATATAAACACCCCTAGGGCTCCCAAAAACGTGGCTAACACTTCTAAGAGAACCCTAGACGTTTTTGGTGCCTCCTCCTCCCTTTCTTATGTCATCTTGTTGCTCATGGTGTTTGCGACTCCATTAGAGGTGCAACATTTGAGGCACTAAGCTTTCAGAAGTCAAGATAAAGAGGAATTGAGATTGTATTGCTACATAACAATCAAGGTAAGATTTAAATCCTTTTATTATGATAATATAGATTATTATATGCTAGATCTAGGGTTTATGAGCTTTGGATGATTATTACATGTTCATTAGACAAACTAGATCCAAATCTTTAGGGTTTGCATGTACACCATAGGATTGATATAGTGCTCAAAACCCATCAGAAACATCCCTTCTCTGCAGCCACTGTGGCAAGTAAATTTATGACAGAGGTGGTTAAGCTTTACGGGATGCCCTTATCCATCATCAGTGACCGGGATAAAAAATTTCTAAGTCAGTTTTGGAGGGAACATTTCAAGCTACATGGAGTGGACTTGAAGCGTAGCACAGCCTACCATCCACAATCAGATGGTCAGTCTGAAGTGGTGAATCGATGCCTTGAAACTTACCTGCGTTGTTTTCTTTTTCAGGCAAGCCTAAGCAGTGGTCCAATTGGCTGGCATGGGCTGAGTATTGGTATAATAGTACATATCACTCAGCTACGGGAGTCACCCCTTTTAAGGCTCTATATGGCCGAGACCCCCCACCCCTGATCCAATATGAGGGGCAACTTACCTCAGTGGATGCCCTCGACCAGTTGCTAGAAGACCGTGATGCCACCCTCGATGAGCTTAAGATGAATTTGATCCGGGCTCAACAAAGAATGCAGGTTCAAGTCAACAAGAAGAGAAGGGATGTCGAGTATCAGGTCAATGATTGGGTGTTTCTAAAGTTGCGACCCTACAGACAGAAAAGCTTGGCTCAAAGGAAGTCCGAGAAGTTATCACCCCGTTACTACGGCCCCTTTCGCATCTTGGAGAAGATTGGAAAGGTTGCCTGTAAGTTAGAGCTACCGCCCACCACAAGTATCCATCCCACGTTCCATGTTTCCCAGCTCAGGACTGCCATTGGAACAACCACACCCACTAAGAACATCCCACCACAAATCAATGAAAACTTAGAATTGGTAGCTCAACCAGAACAGCTGCGGGGAGTGCGCTTTAAGAAAAATGGAGGGCTGGGAGAAAAGGAGGTGTTGATACAATGGGAGGGGTTAGCAGAAACTGAAGCTACATGGGAAGATTACTGTAAGATGAATATGCAGTTTCCTAATTTTGATCTTGAGGACAAGGTTAAAGTGTGGGACGCCGGTGTTGATAAGCCCCTAGTCCAATAGGTCTACACTCGTAAGAAGAAAGGGCCCAAGGTTGGCATGAATCATAACCAGCCCAGTCCTTCGCAGGGACAACTCAGGTGTAACTTGGTCTTTTTGGTGTTTCCTGCAGCTGTGGGTCAGGAAATACTGATAGTGAAGGAGAAATGTTTAGTTTGGCAGTCTTTTTTGTCCTTTTATTAGTATTAATAGCTAGTTGTGATATCTTTTGGGGGTTATGTGGAATTTGTAATTGCTTATGCATGCTTAGAGAGCACTCACCTCACAAAAGGGAGAATTATCATTTATTTCTATGAATATCGTTATTTCTATCAATATTATACCAGTTCACTACTATTTCATCATTCATTGAGTTCATATTACCGATTTGGTTAGCTTGTTCTAGTGTGAGCATATCAAATCGTTGAGGTATGTGCGTGAGGAGGGCAGGGAAGACTATCGATCGTTGGCTGACTAAAGCTAGGCGATTGAATGAAAAAGCAGCAAACACCAAAGCTAACCTCCAAACCTACAGCCGAAGCACAATTCTGGGTCAATTTAGTGAAAGGGAGGGACCGGAAGCGACAAGTTACCCATAGTACAGTGGCAAATTCGTAAACGTTTGGGAATTAATTGTATGTACAATTACTAAACTAGAGTATCTGCAGTAGTAGAGGATCATCCACAAAATGAGCTTATTAGAGAGCTTATTGGGTCAAAAAGTCAAAACAAAACTATCCTAAGAGCGTTCTTTTATCTCAAAAGTTTTTTTACTTTAGCTTGTAATTTTTTTACCTCTCCAATTTTTTATATGATGTCGTTTTGGCAGATATTTTTTAACATTATATACCAGGAAAGGAAAAACAAAACACAGCCTCCCCCTCCCCATACCCCCAAGTTTAATGCAAAAAAAAAAAGTAAATTTCTCTCTATCAAAATGAAAATGTAAGATTTTACAACTTGGCCTCGCTCCCTCGTTTTTTTTTTTTTTTTTTTTTTTTTTTTGAACATAATGGATTCAGATTAGACAGTGTTTTGAATTTTAAACCAATTTCCTCTTGAGATATTGTGTACCATAAGCCGCAGTGGAAGTCACTGTCGTTGAAGCCACTAACCAACTGCATCAAACCAAAACCAAAATAGACTTGGTGTAAATTATAGTTTTGGTCCTTGTGTTTTTGTTATAGTCCAAAAAAGAATCCACAAGTCTTTACGTCAATTAGAAGAAAGGGAAAAAAACACGTTAAGCTAGCTACCTACCTTAAGTAGGTGATGTATAATTCAGTTTGAGGAGTTCCAAACTCTGGTTGCAAAAGAGCACCTGTAACCAAGGCTAGTTGGAAGCATGTATTAACCTATAAACCAAAAACAAATCTCATAAGCTACATATAACTTTTTTTCCTTTTTTTTTTAACTTAAGGTAGAAATAACGACTTAATACATAAAGTCAGGAAAATAATAGGCTTTTTCACATTACCTCCTTACTTCTCTTTTTCCCACTATTTAAGGTCATTGAACTTTTCGTTAGTATCTATTATCTAAGGTCCCTTACATCTCAAATATTTCTTAAACATCATTTATCGAGACAACATTTAATAAAAAAAAATGGAATGGAATATTTACCTTACTGATCATTAGAGGCTCAACTTTCTGTGGTCGAATCCCATCAAGGTTAAAAAACTCTACCCAACTCCTTGACTATATACCAAAATATACACATTACAATATATACAAAAAAAACAAACAAACAGATTGCTAAATTGATTTGAAGAACAAACATACCTCTGAACCCAAGTTGGTAGCTCTTATATACACTGCCCCACCAACTAGAGCAACATCCCTCATCACTACAAGTGCCACCAGTCCTGCTGTAAAATTATTAAAATATTAAAAATGTATTTTTTAAGTAAGAATATAAGTTCATGTTTATATGGAGAGTAAAAAAGTATCATACAGATACTTACAGTGCAAAAGACCCCTTTCTACCATGGCTAAGGCAACACAACCAATTAAAACCTGTGTGTTTTTAACAACTTTCCATGAGATTTTATGTATAATTTACCTCAACAAAATATATATTAAAATCAATTGTTGTTTTAAATGAAAGAAAGAAAAGAACGTACTTTGTCAGCAAGAGGATCAAGGTATGAACCAACCACGGAATTAATCCCCATCTTTCTGGCCACATATCCATCTAACTGCAACAACAAACAACTTTTACCACACATGCAAAGGATGAAAGGAATGGAATCACTAATTACATTCCATCATATCATGTTTGCTTGGTCTGTCTGTAGGAATGGAATGAATTTTTAATATGTATATGTAAATAACTATAAAATGTATACTTCTAGCTCTACTGTATATACTACTTGATTAAAACTAACGGGTTTTTTTATCTATAAAAAAGTTTACATATTAAGCAAACACTGAAACCGAAAAAGATATTTCTAATTATTTCAGAAAAGAAATACGTAATTTAGCTAAATGGTGAAATTTTTTAAAAGATGTATTGTTAGATAAAAAAAAATGGGTTATATTGCAAATTTCATTCCCTTCCATGATGGAATGAAAAAAGTAAAGAAAGATAAATGAAAAAAAAAAATGAAGGATTCACATTCCATTCCATCAGACAAAACAATGAATTTCTTTTCCATTCCATTCCTTCCTTGATTCCATCATACCAAACACTAGCTAAAAATCTTACCCAGTCTGTTGCCCCAGAGACAACAAGCCCAAGAAATGCAGGAAGATACATATCATGCATGATCATCCTGCATTCAAGTTGTCATTTTGTAAGTATGGCCCATAAATCTTATATAATAACCTTTTATACCCTTCAAGGAATACCTATACACATGATACTCTTAGATTACCTAGTTGGAAAAATAAAATCAAAAGGAGAAGATTCCATGTCTAAATGGTGATCTAGCCTATTGTTGGGGTTAACCCTAAAGGCTAACAGGCAACAAGATACCCATTGTTTACTGTAAGTAGCCAAGTAGGTTTCATTTTTAGTTTACAGTTTGCCAAAAGGAAACATGCAATGATCCATGATCCATTGTTGGTAATCTTCAACACTTAATTGAACCTCAAAAATAACAACTTAAAGAGAAATAAGAAAAAATGTGTTGCTATTCTATCTACATAATTTCCAATTTTCACATATTCTTCGTATTACTGTGATTGGTTTGTGTATTGAGTTCAAATACATAGTTCAAAATACATATCTAAAGTTCTAATCACACATCTAGTGTAAGAAACAACTAAACCAACCATAATTAAAAGCATCTCCTCATATGTTTATGTATTTAGAGAGTAATAATCTGTCCATTCCACCATTAGCATCCACTTTACAAACAGAAAATAAGTTTCACGTATAAATAATCCCATCTAAAGTTCAACTTGAACAATAATCTTCCTATTTCAAGGGGCGGAAGCTATCAATATTCAAAAGTAGGCATCGATTTAAACATACTGTCAAAGAGAGCAGTCATGAAAGGGACAATGTGCAGCAAGTACTTCATTAAATCTCCATTTCCAAGTTTAAGAGTAAAATAGATGCAAAAAACAGAGAATTAGGAAAGGATATGAAGTCTATACCATCCAAGCACCGGGCCAGAAACCAATCTACTCATAGAAATGAAATTGGGCCAATTAACGAAACTCTCCACTAATCCATCACGGACACTACTTCCAACGATCCTCGAGTCCTTCCCATCAACCAAATTACTGTCGTTTTTAACCGATCTTAACCCTAATTTGATCGGAAACGTCCGTTCTCGAAGCAAGTCAATAGCCCGTACTTTAGGGATCGCAACGACGTCAGATTGGAGGTATAGAGGAGTCGCGAATTGCAGAAGCTTCCATGGAGGATAGGAGAGGAAAAGCGGGCCATGGAATGGGTAGTCCCACTTAGAGATAGAGATTGAAGGAGAGATAAAGTTTGATGAGCGAGAGAGTAAGATTGATGACCTTATGGATCGTAAGGACGTCGGATTTGGAGTGGAGATGAAGAAGGTTCTGGTGTTGGTGTTGGAGGTCTTTCGAGCAAGTTCCCTGAGTGATCTGAGAATGGCCATTAACGGTGGCGCATTGCAATATTTGATATCGAGAATAGAGAGGGATAGGTTTTTGCAGAGGTTTTATAGTTTGACCAACAAGATAGGTTTCTGCACACATGTACATGCCTATCTCACGTGTCAGTATTATACGTGTCGAATGTACACGTGGCAAATTTTACATTATCTGTTTTTTGTCTTGACCATATTGTTGTACCTGCTGTTTTAAACTAATTCTTGAAACGATTCTAAAAGATATTATGATTTCTAGTGAGGTTGGTTTTAAAATGTTTCATGCTTATCATCGTTTTTTGTATTTTGAAAGAAAAAGAGTGAAGAGAAAGAGAGATGTTCAATTCATGCCATTAAGCAATCGTTTTTTGTATTTTGAAAGAAAAAGAGTGAAAGAGAAAAGAGAGATGTTCATTTCATGCCATTAAGCTATGCCTCAACAAATGTCATTGAGATATGCCTACGATAAGGGGAGATGTATCATGTATGCTATCAATATTGAATGCCATCTAGTATGTCATCCTTCGTGCCATTTCATTTCGTTTAGCCTTGTTAGCCAAATAAATTTATTAGTCCATTTTCTTGGTTTAGGTATGGGGTTTCAGCGAGCCGAGCTGAGTCCGAGCTTGCTCGAGCTCGTTTAAGTTATACAAGGCTCAAGCTCGAGCTTAGCTCGATTCGAGTTTTCTTATACCGAGCTCGGCTCAAGCTCTTAAAGAATTATATAAGTTCGATTCATTTTTTGTCTAGTATGCTTAAATAACCTTCAGCTCGGTTCGAGTTTGTTCATTAATACTCTAAATCCCTAATTTCCCAAATAGTTTTTATTTTAATATATAAAAATAATAACAAATTATATTATATTATATTATATATATATATAGGCTCGTTTAGCCTTGCGAGTCTAATCGAGCTTAGTGACATAGAGTCAAACTCGAGCTCGTTTAATAAACGAGCTTAATATTAAGCTTAAGCTCGGCTCGAGCTCCTTTAAAATCGATTTCGAGTCGAGCTTTTAACGAGCCAATCCCAAATAGCTCACGAGTAGCTTGACTCGTTTTGGGACTATTTGGCTCCCATTACCCTTTTAGCTAGGTTTAACATAATTATTTTTTCTATTTATATTGTCTTTTCCTTTCATTGTAATTGTACTCGTTATTTTTCAATAGTGAAACCCTAGCAGTATTTTGTTCATTAGTTTACATGGTATCAAGTCTGTATTCGGTTCGTCGTCTATTATTTGGTTTGGTTTGATTTGTTTGGATTGTTCGTGTAATGTCCCAAAAATACCGAGTAAAAATTTCATTTTTAAATAAGTCAAAACCATTTATTCATTATCTCAAAGACGATCAGAATAAAAGTATTCTCAAAACATCAGAGTAATTCGTAAACATTCAGTGTGGAATAAATCTTCAGGAGATGCAGTGCAATCAAGTCGGATCCTTCCTTTTGAAACCAAAAGTACCAGAAAACATTTTAAACGTAAATCGTAAGCACAAAGCTTAGATAGTTCTCCAAAATACCGCATACCATACATACATCGGGCCCCGCCCGGCTAACAGGCCCATCCAAAATACATAATAGGCCCCGCCCAACACATATAATGGGTCCCGTCCAACATACACACAACACATGCAAGAGTCACCAAGACAACTAGCATCCTATGAACATAATCCAATGGGCCGGCATTAGTTCCTTAGACCCACGAGTACAGTGAAGAGACTCACCTCGATCGGTAAACGAATAGATCTCATGTTGGGTTTTAGTTCAAAATAGTTTCATAAACTAGAAAAATATGGCAACGGAAGACTTATGATTTTGAAATAACATAAACATTTTATATCCACCAAGGATCTTCTTGCAAGTTATAGAAATATTAAGGTGGTGTTTGTTTTTTGTCTTCAGATCTGCGTGGCCTCTTCTGTCTGCGCCGCGCAGACCACGCGCAGACATTAGTCTTCACAGACTGTTTGTTTTTTTGAAGACTGCAGACCTAAAAACGTATGTGCGCCCTCTTCTTGGCGCAGATGTAGACCAGAGTCTTCTAACATCTTCACACATCTTCTAGCCTAAAAAACACATATATCTTTATTTTTTTTAAGTTTTTTTTTTAATTTATATTTTTTCCAACTTTATTAATGATAAACAATTTTAAAAAAAAATTACAAAACTTTCAAAAAAACGTTCGACGATACAAACATGATATTTTTGACAAATTTATAAATAAATATTTATTACAATAATAGTCGTTGAATTTGTTTATATAAATATGAAAAAAAAATCATAATATATATTCTTATATTTTTTTGCCAAATTTTGTAAAACATTATTTAATACAGCATCGTCAATTTCTCGAGAAAATATTTATGGTACGTATTTAATGGATTTAATTGAAAAAATCGAAGTTTATTTCCATCCATTTATGTATCAAATTCTTTGATCCCTAATTACAATGTTTAGTTATAACTTTGCAACCAAAGTTGTTGGTTTTTATCAAATATATACGTTAATTCATACCATTTTTATTTTTATTTTTTATACAATAATACATAAAAGTTGATCTAGATTTGTTAATTATTTATAACAAAGTCATAAAAATATTAAAAAATCACTTTGAAGTTTAAAAAAATCAGTTTATTTAGATTTCAGTTTATTTTGTAGCCCGCAGATGTTAAAAAAACAAACAGTCTTCTTTTTTCAGACTGCAGACGTTTGGTCCACCTCTTCTACTACAGAGGTCTACAGATGTGGTTCGCAGACTGCAGACATATTGCCTCAGAAAAAACAAACAGCACCTAAAACACCAACCAAATCAGAGGTGAAGAAATAACAACCTTTGTAGTTCTTTGGGTCCTCTCGGGAGGCTTGGAATGTGGAACCTTTGAGACACCAACAATGACTCAACTTGATGTAGATGCTAGTCCAAAACTCTTAAACCCTTAAGCTTTAAGTTCATAACCAGTATGAACTTAAAGAGGGCTTGAAGATGCAAGTGTTCTTCAAGAATGAATTAGAGAGAAAGGGAGAGGGAAGAGAGGATTTGGATTTTGCATCCAAGAATGAATGAACTAATAATTCAAGTGCAAGCTCTCTTATTTATATGCATAAAGTGAAGTTATTAACCATTAGTCCTTAGCACTTTAAGCAAACTTGTCCCCTTTGTCATAAGCATGTCTCCCATGCCTTTAAAGCATGATTAGACAAGTCATACACTTCTTCTTTTTATGCATATCTCGAAAATTGCATAAAGAAGAAGAAAGAAAGTCAAACTTTTATAAACTCTTTTATAAAATATAAACATTATCTTTTAGGAAAAAGACAAAAGGATTCAGCTAGTCCAAAAGTTTGTACATGACTTATAAATCATACCTATCACAACTAGGAATTCTGATACGCAGTAAACGCTTAACAAAGAGTGACATTGTAGTTAAAACTTGAAAACATGTATTGTGTTAAATCAATGACAACAAAATTCATATACAAGCATTCAAATAGTCAACAAAGAATTGGATACCCTAGAAATCCCGGTTTAAGTCCATTATGGACTAGGATTTCCTTATTGGGCCTAATGGACCAATAAGCTTTCAATTGGACTATTTTGGGCTTAGGACCCTTAAATGGACCCTAATTGGACCCACTTTCTTTTATTTTAACATTTTGGGCCATAATGGGCCTAGAATGAAATAAAATACCCTAATGGGCCATAACAAATGTAATTAACCTAATGAGCCATAAAACTCATACTTTGATTTATTTTGGGCCGTGAACCATCTCCAAAGACCAAATGGGCCGAAAAACCATCAAATTGGGCCCATATTATGGATTAAACATAAAAGGCCCAAAATTTCTCTTCTTTCTCTTCCCTCTTTCTCGGCCCAAGAGTAAAACAAAAAAAAAATGGAAATTCAGGAAATAAGGAGGGTTAGCCACCTCCTTATTATATTTTGGTCTTCCATGCAACCATCTCATGTTCCTATGCATCCATCACATCCTTACCTCTCTCTTCTCCCCTCTCTCCTTTATATCCTCGGCCGAAGACACCCAACACACACACACACATATTTCATCCATCTTTTGCAAACAAAACTCTCTCTAGAAAAGTTCTTTCTTCTTCACAAATTTTCGAAGATCTAAGGAGGATCAAGGAGATTTCCACCAAAAAAAACTCACTCCTTCCTTGGTAAGTCCTTACACATCTAAGTTGTATAACTTCATCCTTGTGTTAAGATCATTCATTCTAAGCATTTTTGTGATCATACTCTTAGAAAACCTCCATAAGTTCGAAAGCAACCCAAGAAAGCTTCCTAGGGCTGAGAATAGCATCAAACTTCTTCCATTTCTTCAAAACCGAGATCCACAAGAAAAGGTGAGTTCATACCCCTCTCTTTTTGGTTTTCACAAGTTTTATGGGGGAGAATACAAGTAAAATGTGTAGATCTATGTGTATGTGTATGCTATGTATGATTTCATGCATGTATGTGTGATTATATGTGTTTATGTGGTAAATATGTAACAAAAAGGGAAGAAATCACGAAATCTATGGCACAAGAAGGAAAACAAACATGAACTAAGATATATTACACTAAACAAGTCAAGAAAAATACCCTCTAAGATTAAAATAAACATATTGCAACATAAAACCCATTTTTGGGCTTAAATTGTCAAATAAACAAAAGTTGGGTTAAAATTGCCATTCACTGTTTTTCTTAAGGATCAAAAGGGTCAAAACAGTTAAAATAAAAGTTTTATGAATATTATACTCTTCAAAGGACTAGAAATGTAAATTGTAGCTTAATGGGCCAATTTTTGGGCTTTTCGGCCCATTGAGCCTAAAATTTGCGAAAAACCAAATTTTAAAGGGATTGAATGATAAACTTCACAAAACAGGAGGTAAAAAGGGTAAACAAAACCAATTCAAGGGTTAGAATGATTTATTTTCCAAACAAGGATCAAAAATGTAAACTTTTTGGATTTTGGGCCAAAATTGTAAAAGTTGCGAAAAGTTTGGGTTTTAACTGAAAAATTCCTTACTGGAAGGGCTGAAACTGCCAAAGAGAAATTTTTGAACTAAAAACATCACTTAAACAAGTCTATGGGTCAAAAATGCAAAGAAAATGGTTTAAGGGCCTGAAATGTTCTTTTTTCAAAATAAGGGACTAAAATTGTTATTTTTGTTAAAGAAGGGCTGAAAAGGTCAAACCAACATTTTGAAGCAATTATTTTGTTTTTAAGATATTTGAGTCAAAAATACCAAACTACAACTCATGAAAATAGAAAGATGAATATACTTATAATTCCAAATATCGTTATAAACAATCAACCGGCCTCGTGCCGATACGAAGATAACAATCGTTCAATCAAACTTTCCAACAATTATACTATACCTAAAACAAGTAAATATCCAAATAGTTGGGCTTGAAAGATCCTAATCATGCTTATTGGACCTTCGTGGCCCATTGACATGACTTTTGGGCCTAACACTAATAATAAATGTTTATTGGGCCTCCGGTGACCCAATTACATGTTTAAGGGACCCTCAATGGCATATATATGCTATTGGGCCTTGGTGGCCCATTAGCATTGCTAGTAAGGTCCAAATTTAATCAAATATGAAATGGGCCAATGTGTCCTTCGTATAACCAACAACCTTAAATAACACGCGTAATTAGCAGGACCTTGTATTCCTCTTCTCCGTGTCTGTTAGGCTTATTTGAAATCAAAGTAAACAAACCCAGGTCGTTAATCAACAGTAATCAATTTTGTTTGGATTAAGTGAGTAATAACGGGCGACACCTCTAAGGGTCGTTTGTAGTCTGTAGTTATAATCAAAGTCTCCTGGAAGGAGAGCGAGAGTTTGTGTATAGATCTATACGGGGGTGACTCCCCCACACCTCAGCTGTTCGCTACAGTTAGACTCGGCCAGTCTAGGGTGACAAAATCTTAAGATCAATTCCGGCGTACATTAGGATGCCAAGACAGACGAACTAGTCATTATTATGCATGGTTATAACGACTCACATAATTAAATAAATCCAATACCATCCGAGTAATCAAGGAAGAGTAATCAAAATCATTCGTTGCGGCGGTATATCAATTTGAAAACAATTATATTTTATGTTATCGGAAAACATCGGGTTTTTCGAGGAAATCAGCACCACTCGCTTTTATTTTTCTATAACTATAATACAAAACTTCCCATTTATACACGTTTTGAAATCATTCATGCATCAACTTATGGATCTTCACACACTTTGGTAAACAACTGTCTTTTCAGAAAATATCGGATTTTCTGGATTTTATAAACTACACAAATCATTTTTATCACAACCCTGCTTATGAACTCACCAACATTTCATATGTTGACGTTTTTCAAAATAATTTGTATTCTCAGGTAACAGGTAAGCTGCAGGGTAATATCAAGTATGTTAGGAAGCTATGTTTTGAAAACTCTTAAACAATTTATGTTATGGATGTGTAATATTTAAAACAATGTACTGGATGTGAACAATATCAGTTGTAATGTATTGATGCATGGTGATGTTTATGTTATGATTCATTTATATCCATTGTGATGATATTCAATTTAAGTCACGCGAGCCCTCGGACGTTTCCGCCGTCTGGTTCGGGGGTGTGACAATACCATATGACATATATTAAGTTACTTGCTAATGGAATTTATTATTTCCATAAAATAAAAAAATTCCAATTTAATTATAAGAGATTTATTGAATATTTATTAAAATCAATTTCTAATAAATAATCAATTGTATCAAGTTGTTGTTAGTGTGACCCATTAGTAATATCAGTTTAATATGACTCTTGAGCATACTAGGCCTTTCATCTCACACACGAGTTGCGAGTGTTGAAGTCCCTCCCACTAACATATCCACAAACCAAACCCTAATTAGCAATTAAGGTAAATATTCCAACTTAGAAATTCCAAATACCAAGATAAATCCTCATTTTGGCAAAAGACCATTTTTCCTTTCTAAGTCCTCAACCCCCCACAGTTGACCAAAAGTCAAACTGGTCAAAAAGTCAACGGTCAACATTTTGTTGACTTACGTGTGGCATACGTCTTACTTTATGCAGGGTGTAGAGTCTTATCCAGAAAACGGGCAAGAATCAGGCTACAAATATTATATGCTTATAATATTTGTCCATATAACGTGTATACGATCTTTATATAGCTCGTAACGCGTACGAAGAGTAATTACCATATTCAAGGGTTTTAATTGTTCGATAAAATGTATAATTATTATTATTATACTTTAAACGTCTAGCCTGAATTTGCGGACGTTACATCTGGGTTGCAAATTAACCTCCACAAATCTAAATTGTATGGGGTAAGGGTGACTTCGATTGAGCTTCAGGACATGGCTAGGTGTATGGTATGTAATGTTGAATCATTTCCTTTTATGTATTTGGGTTTGCCGGTTGGTGAAACGATGAACATGGTTAATTCTTGGGAGACTTTGCTAGAGACATTTAGGAAACGTCTTTCAAAATGGAAGATGAATATGTTATCGATAGTGGTAGTCTTACTCTTCTAAATTCGGTGTTGGAAAGTTTAGGCATCTACTACCTATCGTTATTTTCCCTTCCAGTGGCTTTCGAAATGAAGATGGAGGCTTGTTTTGCTCAGTTTTTCTGGGGTATGGAAAATCATGAAGAAAATATACACTGGATGCATTAGGATTTAAATCTCAATTATAAGGAATATGGGGGGGTTATCGGTAGGCGTGAAGGCTTTAACCAAGCTTTGATTTTTAAGTGGAAATGGAGATTCCTTAATAATCCTAATGCACTTTGGGTTAGGATTATTAAGAGGTGCTATGGTTTCTCTTGTGGTTTTCAGGGTGGTAGCCGTCAAGGGGTGTGGATTTTAGTGTTATCAATGTGGAATTTGAGAGGTAGGATGTACTCTTAAGGTTCCATTCCAACGCCTTCGGTGAAAAGGAAAGTAGGGAATGAGGAGATGACCAGATTTTGGAAGGATGAGTGGTATGGAGATTCCATTTTCATGGTTCGGTCCCGCATTTGTTTGCTTTGGCTGATATTCCCACTTCTTGTGTTAGTGATTATTATGATGAAAACGGACGGTGGTTTGTATGGAGGATGGAGGTTGATGTTGGTGCTACAAGGGAGGAAATAGTTCCTCTACAATCAGTCAGTTCATCTGGATATAAGGCAAGATACTTGGTCGTGGGAGTTAGATCCATCTGGATGCTTTTCAAGTAATTCTACTAGACACGTTCTTGATGCAGTTACCCTCCTATGGCGGAAACTACTTCATGTTGGAATACATCTTTAACTATAAAGATAAATATTTTTATTTGGCGATTGTGTCTGAACAGGTTGCCATTTAGGTCCTCTTTGGATTTGAGAGGGGTTAAGCTTCCCTTAGTTCTTTGTCCTTGTTGTGTAGAGGTTCCAGGCGATTCATTTATTTTTACAATGTGAGGTAGCGACCCAGCTTTAGAGTCGGGCTGCTAGATGGGTTGATTTGGTGATTCCTTCTTTTTTATTCAGTGTAGGAGGTGTTTCTTTGGGTTGACGACACTGCAAACGTGCTCGCCGTGTGTTGGTTGACACGGTGATTTGCACTTTGATTTGGGTCTTATGGACTTATCGGATCGAGCTGCTTTTTGGAGATTCCAAACCGAAGAAGTAAATTTTGTTTGATTCCATTGTTTTTTTTTTCTTTTAATTGGTTCTCGAATAGGAATAAGAGGGGTTGCAAAACTGGAATTACTGGATGCAAAACCCTATAATGTAATTTTCTCTTGTTGTTTGCTAGTTGCTTGGTAGTTCCTTAATGCAATTTTTAGCCGTTTTTATAGTCTATATATTAAGACTCCTGCCTATTGTTCCTGTCACCGAATTAATGACTGTATTTGATTGCAATCAACAATAATACTTGTTCAACTTGGCTAAACAAATTGTATACATGGTAAAAGCATACTTATCAACATAACAAATGATACAAATAACAAGATTTTTGGCATTGATCACCATACCAAAACATTTATTGCAGCATATAGCATATAAACAAATATGTAATAAACACTAACTATGTTCTTTTGTTTCTCTTTTTTTTTTTAAAAAAGATATAATGTATTTGTTTTGTAAAGTCTAAAGCAGACGAGGGAGATGACATGAATACCTAATTGTCCGATGAGCATCAAGAGCATTTAGTAAAGCAACATCAACTCTCTCTCCTCTAAGATATATGGAATCATACAAGTGATGCGTGAAATTGGATAGATCTTCCTCATCATCATCATCCCAAATTAACGTCCCTCGACCTGCTGCTACACCCGGAGTGGGTGTCTCTCTCTCCATTGTCATGTCTTCCCATTCACTCCCTGGGCTCATGGGCCCCACTGTCATCACATCTTCATCTTCTAGGTCCTCCACCCCGATCTCAAATTTAACTCTCTCCAGTTCAGTTAAGTTGAAAGATCCATGGAATGATGTTAAGTGTGTTTGTGTTTCTTCGGGTTGTATTGAAGGGCAAATAACGGCTTTAGCACCCGAGTCTAGAAATGCTTTTATTAGAGCTGTCGTTGGCCCATATAGGCCCGTGTATATTATAATTCTATCTCTCCAACCACCAACCTACAATAAACAACCAAAACAAAACAAAACAACATTTTGTTATTCTAAGTAATTAAAATACATTATTACAAGAGAGATAAGCCAAAAAAGATAAAGTAAATCAGAATTGGAGTAAAACACACCCACCATCCAACGAACATCTGCAGGAGCCAAGTGCATACAAGGAACAGTCCTACGAAACATGTAAGCTCCAAATTCTTGACCTTCTTCATTAACCTTCATACATATCCACAGAAATCACATCATTATATTACAACTTTCAAGGGCATTCATGTCTTTTCTTTATATTATAGTATATGATGTTTTATGTTTTATGGGGTAAGAAATTAAAGAGACCTGAGTTTGTCGGCCTATGTACTGATGTACAACAACCCCAATCTGGAAGTAGGGCCTACAGGCAACCAAATCAGCAACACAAGAGATGTTTGAAATGTCTGACATGTAACGCCTACGCCCCCCTTTCAACATCGACTGAAAACTATATTTCACTTTTTCCAGAAACTTCTCTGCCAGCTCACCCGGTTCAGCAACCACAAATACATCATTTTTCCAACTGCCCACAACATACAATATATATCTTTACTTATCTTATATCTCACTTATTAACTGCCTAAAATTTTCTCTATACTGTATTGCTCATGTTTAAACAATTTAGCAATTTAAAAAAAAAAAATTGCTAAAAAAGGTCAAACTGTTGGGGTTGAAACACACTTTTATTCAGAACTAGAACAAAAGAGAAGAGCTTACACGCTCAATATTACAAGAAAAAGAAACAACCCTCTAATACTCACTCTAAGTATTACACACTACACTCTCTGTTTGTGGTGTCTTACAACTGAGGTTAGAGCCTCTATTTATACTTAAACAAGCCTACAATTACTACTGCTACCATTTATTGTGTTCATTATGTGAACATACGAAGTTGCCATTTGAGTTCTTATTGTCAACAAAGGAGGGATTCATTTGTCAACTAAAGAGGGTGGTACAGCTACTCATGGCAGGTTCACACCCAAGTAGGTTTACACTCACATTCTCCCCCTTAAACCTAACTTGGTTCGAGATTCGTCACTCCGATCATGTTTCGCATTTCACCATGTTTCACGTATGCTAAAGCCTTTGTAAAGATGTCCGCCCGTTGATCCTTCGAGTTGACATATTCCACTATAATTTGCCCACGTTCAACACATTCTCGTATGAAGTGATAACGAATGTCAATGTGTTTGCTTCGACCATGAAACACAGGATTTTTCATCAATGCGATTGCTGACTTGTTATCGACATATAAGGTGATAGGCATAATATGATGTCCCGTGAGCTCCTTCACGAGATTAGCAAGCCAAATGGCTTGACATGTTGCTGTTGTAGCTGCCATGAACTCGGCTTCACACGTGGACAAAGCAACAGTCTTTTGCTTTTGGGATTGCCAAGTTATCGCATTCCTTCCCAGATAGAAAATCATTCCACTTGTGCTCTTGCTATCAACAGGGTCACCTCCAAGATCACTATCGGTAAAAACCAACCAAATCTTCAATTTCACGACCTCTTCCATAGTTGATTCCATAATCAACAGTTCCTTTTACGTATCGCAAGATGTGTTTCACAACTTGGAAATGCAAAGTGGTTGGTTCCTCCATGAAACGACTTGCAATTCCAACTGAAAATGACAAGTTCGGTCGAGTGTGAGTCAAGTACCTCAAACAACCTACCACTCGCCTATATTCAGTTGGATCAACTTTTTCACCATCTTCATCCTTCTTAACCTTCAACTTAGGTTCCATTGGTGACGTTGTCGGATTGCAATCCAGCAACCCAAATTGCTCTAAAATCTTCTTTGCATAAGCCGTTTGTCGCAAAGATATTCCCCACTTCTTTGCGAAACTTCGATTCCAAGGTAGTAAGAAAGTAATCCCAAGTCACTCATTTCGAATTCTTTCTTCATTTGTTCTTTGAATTCGACAACATCATTAGTGTTCGACCCGGTAATGATCAAGTCATCAACATAGACACCAACAATAAGAATTTTGTCTTTTGAGTTCCTTTTGTAAACAGCTGGGTCTTGTGAACTTTTTGTAAAACCAAGCCTTTTTAAGCTTTTATCCAAACGAATGTTCCAAGCTCGAGGAGCTTGTCGTAGACCATAAAGAGCTTTATAAAGCTTGAACACCTTGTGACTGTTTGCTTTATCAACATATCCTTCTGGTTGGGTGACATAAACCTCCTCTTTGAGATCTCCATTGAGAAAAGCCGATTTGACATCGAGATGGTGGACAACCCACCCATGTTGAGCTGCTAAGGCAAGAATGAGCCTTACGGTGTCAAGTCGTGCTACCGGTGCAAAAACTTCATCAAAGTCGACTCCTTCCTTTTGTACAAATCCTTTGCTACAAGTCGAGCTTTATGCTTCACCACTTTTCCCAAGTTGTCTTTCTTCACTTTAAACACCCATTTCAAACCGATTGCTTTGTGTCCGGATGGCAAATCGGTAAGTTGTCATGTCTTGTTCTTCTCGATTGCATCCAACTCTGTTTGCATAGCCTCCTGCCATGCCTTAGAGGTTACCGCCTCTTTAAAATTCAAGGGTTGATCCGCTGCAATCATCAACAATTCTCCGGGTTCAAGGAACACATTTTCGGTTTCAGAATAAATATCGGTTAACGGACGCAATCCCCTTGGCCCAATCTCACTAGAAGGGCTTTCCATATGGGGCGAGGTTGAAGAAAACGGGGCTGAGACAGGAGTATGTGGAGCTGGTTCAGGCTCGTCAAATTCAGCATATGGTTGTCCAACTTGGATAGCATCGATTCCTGGGCTGTTTGGTTGTTCCGGATTGATTTCGGGGTCATTTTGAGGTGTTTCGAGGTGTATTTGGGGTTGTGGTTCAATTATGGTAAAGGTCTTAGGAGTCGCCATCTCTTCTTTTTTGTTTTTGTACCAATTCCATTCTTCTTTTTCGTCAAAAACAACATCGCGACTAACTCGCAACTTTCGGTCTTGCGGATCAAACAAACGGTTGCCTTTAGTTCCATCTTCCACACCTAAATACACCATCTTCTTACTTCGATCATCAAGCTTCTTCAAGTGACCACCTACAAGTTTAGCAAAAGCAACACAACCAAAAACTTTTAGATGTTCAAGGTTGGGCTTTTTGCCAAACCACGTTTCATAAGGCGTCTTGTCGGGAAGTACTTTTGTTGGCAGGCGGTTGAGAAGATAAACTGCATGTCTAACCGCTTCTCCCCAAAACTCTCCCGGAACATTTCTACCTTTGAGCAGACTTCTTGCCATGTCCATAACGGTCCGATTTCGCCTTTCTACAACTCCGTTCTGTTGAGGCGAATATGGTGTCGTAAGATGTCTTTGAATACCATTTTCTTCACAAAATAATGAGAATTCTTTTGAAGTGAACTCTCCCCCTCGGTTCGTTCGAAGTGTCTTTATTTTATAACCTGAATTCTTTTCAACCATCAACTTGAACCGTTTGAAAGCGCTCAAGGCTTGAGACTTCTCCGATAGCATGTAAACTCACATCCACCGGCTAAAATCGTCTACTAAAAGGAGAAAATATTTACTCCCTCCAACAGACGTAGGTGTGATCGGACCACATAAGTCCGCATGAACAAGTTGTAGAGGTTTTTGAGCCCGAAAAACTGCATGATCCGGGAAAGGAATTCGGGTTTGTTTGGAAAGAACGCACCCTTCACATACTTGGTTTGGGTGCTCAATCTTTGGGACTCCGATTGCCATATTCTTTTCGGACAACTTCTTTAAGGCGAGAAAGTTAACATGACCGAGTCTAGAATGCCATATCCAAGCTGGTTCGTCTTTTGTTGCTAAAAGACAAGTCGGTCTACCGGTCCTTAAAGGAGTTTTATATAACCGGTTTGGGGATCGTTTAACTCTCAAAAGTAGAGTTTTGTTTCTGTCAAACAATGTCAGATCCGACCCATCCATTATGACCCGACTCCCTTCCTCCGTCATTTGTCCAAGACTAATAATATTGTTTTTTAGACTTGGAATGAAATATACCTCATTAAGGAGTCTTTGCTCGCCATTTTTGCTATCGAATAAAATCGACCCTTTTCCCAAAATAGCGACGGTCAAACCATCCCCAAATTTCACATGGACCGTAACGTGCTCATCTAGTTCGCGAAACTTTGAGCGGTCTCCAGTCATGTGATTGCTAGCACCGTTGTCGAGATACCATACCTCAGACTCGACTCGACTTTCTCCCGATGCAAGAAGATTAACATAAATCTTCTCTCTTAGAGACACTTTTTTGTGTGCATATTCTTGTGAGGTTGCCATCATTAAAATAGGCTATTCTTCGTTGGCTTGAGTGAGGTTTGCCTCCTCACCTCGATTCTTGTTTGGACACTCCGAGGCATAATGATCAAATTGTTCACAAGTAAAGCATTTGACTTTACTTTTATCCTTTCGAGAAGGATTATGGTCATTCCGATTTGTATTGTACTCGCGACCACCTCCTTGGCCACGTCCACGACCTCGGCCTCGTCCCCGGCCTCGGTTACCATGTCCTCCTCGTCCTCTTGAAGTGTTTGACGAGTTTCTCTCGCCAGTTTGCTTCGAACGAGATGCCCACTCGGCATGTGTAAGCAATAGAGAAGGTCCTTCTTCTTTTTCTCCATAGCTTCGAAGTCTCTCTTCATGGGTCTTAAGACGACCCACAACTTCTTCCACCGTCATATTCTTCAAATCTCCGAATTGCTCGATCGATGTTACGATTTGTATAAATCGTATCGGTACGGCTCGCAAAAACTTCTTCACAACCGTAATTTCTTCAATCTTTTCACCTAGAGATCGAATACCGGTTATGATAGTATTCAATCTCATGGAAAAATCATCTACCGATTCACTGTCTTTCATCCGGATCACCTCGAAGTCACTTCTCAAGGTTTGAGCTTTAGACTCCTTGACCCGATCGGCTCCCATGTGCATCATCTTGAGCGTTTCCCATGCTTCTTTAGCTGTGTCCTTCTCAGCTAACATCAGAAGTACGTCCTCTGGAATTGCTTGATAAATAGCCGCAAGAGCCATCCGATCTTTACGTTTGTCCGTTTCTGCATTTTTAATTACATCCCATACTCCTTGTGCTTGTAAATTCACTCGCATTTTTATGGCCCACACCGCGTATTTCATCTTCGTGAGCATTGGATAGTGTAACGTAACGCTACCGTCTTTCCCGGTCCTTTGAAAACTTTCAACTCCGGCTTGAGAAGATGACGAGGTTGGTGTAGTCATTCTTGGCATATACTTGGGCATACACGAGTAAGAAATTTTTTTTTTTTTTTTTTTTTTTTGAAGTACGGGGACCAATATGAACTTTTCAGAAGTTCAGGGGGCAAACAGAACTTTTACAGAAGTAAAACAGGGGCTAAATTGAAATTTTTCTGAAAAACGGGACCAAAATTGTAATTTTTCTGAAAAACAGGGGCTAAATTGCACTTTCCGGAAAAACAGGGGCTAAACTGCAATTTCCAGAACTTTGGTCAGCTGCTGATGTCACTGCTACAGTGCTTGCTACAGTGTCGTCTTCTCCGGCGAACCCTGGTTTTTCCGGCGACTTTTCCGGCAGATTTGACCAACTTTGACCGGTGATTTGGAGGCCTTCCGGTGGTCAAAAAATTTAAAAAAAATATATTTTCGGAATCCTCAGAACGAGACCTTTCCAACGGTGTACTCCGAAATTGTTTTTGAGACAAAAAAATTTCGACCAAAAAACAAAGAATGCTTCCCCCGGAGCTTAACCAAGCTCTGATACCACTTGTTGGGGTTGAAACACACTTTTATTCAGAACTAGAACAAAAGAGAAGAGCTTACACGCTCAATATTACAAGAAAAAGAAACAACCCTCTAATACTCACTCTAAGTATTACACACTACACTCTCTGTTTGTGGTGTCTTACAACTGAGGTTAGAGCCTCTATTTATACTTAAACAAGCCTACAATTACTACTGCTACCATTTATTGTGTTCATTATGTGAACATACGAAGTTGCCATTTGAGTTCTTATTGTCAACAAAGGAGGAATTCATTTGTCAATTAAAGAGGGTGGTACAGCTACTCATGGCAGGTTCACTCCCAAGTAGGTTTACACTCACACAAACAAATTAAAACTCACACATGGCGAGTGTTTACAAACTAACCTCCTAGCTAAAGTTACTTTAATAAAAAAGTAATTAAATATTTTAATTTTTCAATAATAGCTTTTGTTGTCACATTACAAATATTTATTATTTACTAGATACAAAAAAACAAAATAGACAACAAGCCATTTTGACCGTTCTCGATCCGCTCATATACAAACGTTGTTGGGAAAGAGGTGAAACACATTTTTTTTTCTTTGGATAGTGTTTTTTATTTTCAAAAAAAAAAAAAACATGATCTAAAGAAAGAAAAATGCTCTCTTGTTTTTTTTTTCACTAAATATGCAACCCTATTTCACTCTAGGACCAAAATATTGTAACAAGACCTGTTACCTCATAATGCCACACACACCGATTGAATGCTTATTTATCCAACAAGATTTTACCTTTTTTTTTTTACCAATTTATGCAACCGACATGAATTATACAACACCTTCAACCGGTTAACAAGTTAGCATGCAGCCAAATAATTGCATCTTAATTTTGGTGATAAATTGAAACACTTTTTTTCTTCACAAATTGGGTAAAAAAATAAAATCGAAACCTGGTTGCATAAATGAGTATTGAATTTATATTGGTTAATGAAGGAAGAAAGAAGCAAAGAACCTTAAAATGGAGCCATTTGAATCGTTTTGAAGAGCCAAATGAACAACTCCAACCTGTGGTGAATTCTGTAACTTGTCATGTAGGTATCGAATCGGCTCTGAGAGCTTTCTTAGTGTTGTTGGTGATTCTAAGGGGGGTGGTGGGGCACAACTTTTATCTGTAAAGTTTCCATCAAGACCTAAGTGGGGCCCAGGCCCAGTATCAGAACCAAAGAGACGTGAACTTGATGGGAAGCTTGCAGTGAACAATGGTGATGATGTAGGTGGAGAGGGAGATGATAATGATGATGATGATGATGATGTCACATCCATGAGAAATATTTTTATTCCATTTCCTGAACAAAATGTCTCGAGTGATTGAATATGGCTGCTTAAGTTTTTCCGAGAATCCGGGGAATTTGAAGCCTTCACTAGTAGCACATAGCGTCTCCAGCCTAAACAAGGTCCGTTTTCACCTGAAAAAATTATATGGAAATCCAAGCTTAAAATCATTCATGAGGGTTCTTACAAATAGAAAATGTAATGTAATTTATTATTATTATTGTATACAACAGTTAATGAGAAAAAGAGAAACAAGATTTCATGCAGCAATCCAATTGTACCTATATTTAGGCGCCTTGGCTTGAGGAACTGAGGAGAGTTTAGAATGTCAGGCATTTTTCCATCCTTATAATTCTGCAACAATTTTTCACACACTTGTTTAAAAGCTGAAGAGTTGTTCTGAATATAATCATTAGTGGCTGCTTCCAACTTAAGCCATATGGTAGGATCAGTCTCATCCAACTCCATATCACAACGTTCATCCACTGTAAAACACACCACAAACACCAATCTACTTTTATGGATTTCTTTATATATATATATATATATATATATATATATATATATATATATAAAGAAGAATTTAAAATGGAATAGATAATTAGAGAAAAGGTTATTGGACCTGGATTGAATCGAAAATACTGAATATCAGGAATCATGGTGAGCAATGTGCTTAACATATGCTCGATCCTCTCAACTGAACATGCACTTTCAACCAACACTTGGCCAGTATCCAAATAACGCCACCCACCTTTTCGAACCTTGAATAAGAAAAAAGATGAATAAATATTTATTTATGTAAAGTATTGAAATTTGGTGTATTAATAATTACCTTAGTTGGAACAGAACAACAACCAACTGAAACTAAGGTGTCAATTTTTGCATCTGGCCATAACAGTTGTGCTTCTCGTATTGCAAAAATAGTAGGGTTATTTGCAACAATCGCACCATCTTGCCACCGAAATATACCTAAAAATAATCACACTTACTTATTTTTAAGTCCAAACTTTTTACAAATTAATTTCTTCCATTCCCAAAGTGAGTGTGTCGTCATCTCATGAAATACTATTTAAACAACATTTATTCAAACAGACAGACAGACATCACTTAATAGGAGGTGTTGGTGATACTCATACCATCAGTGTAATCATCGAGATAATATGGAGCTGCAGATGATGCTCTAATAGCTTGCCATAAATGATGTCTACAGCTTCCCATATAAGCACCACGTTTGTATCCAATTTGAGCACCATTAGTTGATGTTACAGATCCCCCACTTGTTGCTGCTAAATTTTCTGCAATTGTCAAAGGAGCTTCTAGTGTCCCTGCAGGATACTTCACTTCCAATGTACAAATATTAATCACCAAAGAGTCAAAAATAGCAACCTACTTTCACTTATTTGTGTAATAATAAACAGATGAAAGAAAGTGTGTTGCTATTTCTTTAATCCAAACTAAAAAAAAAAAAAAAAAAAAAAAGAAACATAGTGAAAACCTGATAGTTACGGAATATAAATGGCTGAGAAGGCGACACGCTGACTAAAGTCGATATTACAATAACTTTGGGAATATTTTTCACTGCTGAGTCTATTAAGAGATCTCCATCCTCTTCTGCACATATCTCTTTCAATAATCTCTCAAATTCATCAGCGCTGTGCTGGACACAGATATGAAACCAGATAGCTTTAGCAAATAATCATTAATCAGGAAATTTTGTATACGAAAATAGAAAGGGAGAATTCTGCATACTTTAGATCCATGTACAACAACTCTAAAATTTTGTGACGAACTTTTGTAAAGCTGATCGAACTTCTCTCTCCAAGTTGCTGCTTCGTTATCCCTTGGAACGGGTTCCGCAAAAACAAGTTTTCCTTTAGATTTGTAGAGAAATCAATTGTAAAGAAAGACAATTGTGTTAGCATAGTCACATGCATAAGGTTCCATTTGTTTGGTTATGTAGGACAGGTTGTACTGCATTTGACATGCATTAGACTAGGACTGATACTCATGTCCATTGAAAAAAAAATTGCAAAATTTTATACCACCCCAAAAAGGGAGAAAAGGGATTCTCTCTCGATCTTTGGTCTGTGTAAAAGACGAAAATGCCATCTCCATCATCATTGAAAATATCCCTAGAAAGTTTGTCTAGTCTTGTCCCATGTAACAAACGCAGCCTTATGGCTGCGTTTGTTGATCGAGACTGGATTGGACTAGACAGACTTTCTAGGGATATTTTCAATGATGATGGAGATGGCATTTTCGTCTTTTACACAGACCGGAGATCGAGAGAGAATCCCTTTTCCACCTTTTTAGGGTGGTATAAAAAATTGCAATTTTTTTTTTCGATGGACATGAGTATCAGTCCTAGCCTAATGCATGCCAAATGCAGTACAACTAACTGTTGAGTCATGTCATGAGGCCATAGCCGACCTAGATTTTTGTATATGTCTTCACATTTTTCCAAGGACATGAGTTTAATTCCAAGAGCAACAGCAAGCATGCCACCGGTTGAAGTGCCACATATAAGGTCAAACATCTCATGTATCTGTTTCCCTGTTCCCTTCTCAATCTCCTTAAGAATTTGAACAGTAGCAAGACCTTTCATCCCACCTCCATCCATTGTAAGTATACGCAGTCCTTGCTTTGGTACCTGTCTTCCTTTGATACAACGCCGCAGACTCTCATTCTCCCCTATATATATAATAACAATACACTATTTAATATAACCATAAATCAAATAATATACTTATAGCAAAATCACCAAATAAATAAAACTAACTAACCGAGAATTGCAAGAACACGAGCTGCAGCTTTCCTCACACGTAACTCAAATGCAACTGTAAGCCGTAGAAGAAGATCCCTCAAACTTTCAGAAGCAACAAGCATCAGCCGGTTTTCTAAACAGAAGGCTAAGTTCCCAATAGCTAGTAAAGACGCCCTTTGTACCTAATTAATGAATCATTAATAAATTCATTCAGCACTTTTACTTCATCCACAAGAAAGAAAAAGAAAAAAAAAATAGTGTTCACCTCAGGATCTTTATGTGCGCATAAGATTTTTAAAGATCTCACCACATCCTTGTTCATCATCTTTTGGGCGACTGTATCAGAGACAAACCCTAATTTTGCCACAACTTGCAAAACGGATTTCAGCTCTTGAGGGCCCGCAGAATTCAGAACTCTTTGAATGGGTTGCATGATGTCACATTTCATCAACTGAAGCGATACGGATACATCCGAGGCAAGAGAGGTAAGTGCAGAACAAGCTTGCTCAACCTATATATATAAGACAGAGTAGTACATATATACATGATACAACTAATTATAAGGAAAAAAATATATATATATGATAAAAATGGCAACTGAACTAACCACATGATGGTTTTCGCTACTTATCATGCTGATGAGCTGGCGAACTGCATTTTCATCTTTACCAATAACCACACGGTTTCCTTCATCTTGCATCATCTTTGCAAGGGCTGATGCCAGCAAAGAGTGGTGGCATGAAGAATAACGAAATATAAGTGCAAAAAAGGCACTCAGCTTGTGTCGCGAAGAGAAGTATGAACTATTCTCCATCTGCATTCCATCTAATACAAGTTAGACACTGACACTGACACTGACAAATGATAGCACCAAAGAAAAGCATGTCATCATCCAAATATATTATTACCTCTATCTGCACATTGACTGATCTCAGATGGTCATCTGCAACTATACGGATGTTTGCAAGAGAAAGGTGACGAAGTTGGTGCAAAGGCAAAATTTGGGGAAGAAATTCAAGCGGATTACCAAATAGCCTGAGAACACGTAATTCTGCCATTGCCCTACATAAACAAAAAGGTCAAAATAATATTTATCATTTTTTCTAAATAATATGCTACAAAATTTATTTATAATCGAGTCACCTGAAATCAAAAAGAGGACAGACGAGCTTATTGTGTTCAAGTGATAACTCCACGAGTCCAATGCACCTCCTGAGTTCAACTGTTTGTGGTTCAAACAAAAAAGGCACATGTCACAAGCTGTAAATCGGTCCTATACACCTACATAAATCGGATATAAATTCTCAGGAAAATAGGAAAATCGATATTTTATATTATGTATATATGTTATATGTATACACACACACATACAAGTGTACCTGGTACTGAAACTAACATGTTGTAGTCAACTGTGAGTACTTTAAGGCTTTTCATGTCGCCAACTTCTGGGGGTAAATTTGACAGCTTGTTGTTATCAAGATATAGCTTCTCAAGAAGTGGCAGTTTAGTCAACTCTACTGGAAGTGTCTGAAAATATAAATGAGGGCAAATTTGTAAAAAGTTTGAAGCCTTCTTTCACAAAGTTTCTTTATGAAGTCGTTATTTGCACATTAAGTCAAAACGAAACACCCATATATAGCTTACTGGATTAGGTCATGTCCCCATTAAGTTCATTAAGTATAAGAAATAATACCTTAATCATTTTTAAAAAACACTATGACCTACAACATCTTTACACTAAATAATACATGTATAACAAAAATGTTATTGACTTTGCTAATATAGAAATAGACCCTTTTGCCATGCAAAACCTTTTCACTAATAATATTTTCCATTGTATCCACACAGGTTAAATGGAAAAATAGAAACGTGCTTTTGTTGATTTGTTTATTGTAGCATCTTAGTTTTATTTCTTCATATTACAACATTGTACTTTGAACATTTATCCAAGTATATTAAGGTCATCCACTACAAAACAATGAACAATTTTCATTGGTACAATTTGGTAGATTTTTTCAAAGTATAATGTCCTAATAAAAGTGAAAGTATAATGCTACAACTCGGTAGATATCTCACACTACAATGTCTTAATAAGAAAAAAAAACTGAAAGTACAATGTTGTAGTAGAAAGAAATGAAAGTATGATGTTATAATACACAAATAAATGAAAGTGCATTATATGAAGGTGTAAATGAACTGAAACTACATTATATAAAGGTGACCAACAGCTCATTGTTTACCATAGTGAATTTATATTGAATAACGATTCTTCATTAATAGACTCAAAACTTCATCTTTAAATAATCAGAAAGCAAGAGCAGGATACCCAAAAACTAGAAACTGAATCCTAATATTCAGATAATCACTTCCAAAATAAGACCAAATATGCATTTAATTAGTATTCTTGGTAATCCAACAAACATTCAACTAATCAATAGGAACTTGAATATAAAAATTTGTCAAAAGTAGATTTGGTAAAATAACTGTGTCAAAAAAGAGGTAGATTTGGAGATTATTTGAAACTAGTTCTTGGATCTTTTAATGGGTGAAGAAGATGATGACAAAAAAATGACTTGGTGTATATGAAAAAATAAAAAATCAATTCAATAGGACAAACTGAAAAGTAAAGTTGTTGCTTTATCATCTTAAACTTTAAAATAAAGATCAAATCGACAATATAAATACTTGAATTCTAATAAAAGTTCATGTAAGCAAAATGTTGTCACCTAGATGCCATCTACTCATTTGAATATTTAACTTGTTCAAGTCAAAAGCTTTTTGAAAGTAGTAAGAAAAAGAAGATACAGTAATATTAAGTCAAATAATTTGAGAAATAAGTTTTGAAGGAGCAAGAAAAAGCTTACAGACAAACCGCAACTGTAGAGGCTGACGACAGTAACATTCGTCCAATGATCAGCGATAAATCTCACCCCTACCACAACAGCTTGACCCGTACCCGTACCCATACCCCACCCAGAGGCGGCTGCAAAATCTGATTGCATCAACTTAGTAAGGACGCCCATTCCATCATACTGTTGGCCGGACCCTCCGACCCGTGACATGGCAACCGCCCTAAGTGGATCTCTCTGTTTCACAACCTTCATACCCACACGCACCAAATCCCCACCGGAATCATCACATGCTGTTTCCGACAACGTGATCACCACCGTATCTTGCGGCAAAGGCAAAGCTACCATTACCTGAGACTGGAGCCTCAATGCAACCTGACCATCGTCATCGGCGGCATTCCAATCGAGATCGATTCGAAACCCTAACTCTTGGTCGTTACAAATGTGGTTGTCTTTTTCCGACGATAAACTCGACGAAGGCGGTGATGATGATGAAGGTGAACGGTTTTGATCATCTATTGTTTCCTCTATACCGTAATGTAAAGATAGATGAAACACATCGGATGGCCTCTTCCAACCTAATCCCCACGACATTGTATATCAACATAAAATTTCCCTCATGCAGAGACGATCATCGATCGAAATTTGGATCTTTTAACAACATTTCGTGCTTTTGGACAAATCGATTGAAGAATTGTAGGGCTTAACCGAAGCATTTACAATGGTATATGATTATTTTCAAGGATCGTGATTCAAAACCAAGGATGATATGATACGAAACCGCCATTCCAGTAAAGTTGATCATCTACTTCGTCTTGTAATTTCCGGAGAGTTTATTGGTTCTTTGAACTATTTTAAAAATAGTCCTTTCACTATCTCTAAAACTACACCTTCTACCTAAATCCCTCCCACTAATAAGAATGTCATATTAAAAAAAATGGAAAATGACATAACGGTCCTAATATGTATTTCGACTTTACCCTTCCAGTCCTTGAAGTTTTTTTCGTACCTTTTAAGAGAACAAATTTGTTTTTGTCGGGTCGATTTGGTCACTTTGGACAAAATGAAGGTGTGACACGGTTACCCCTTTTACACATAGACCTTGACTAATCACTATTGGCTCATATGAGCTCTCTCTCTCTCTCTCTCTCTCTCTCTCTCTCTCTCTCTCTCTCTCTCTCTCTCTCTCTCTCTCTTCCTCACCCTCCGGTTTTCCTCTTCCTCGGCTCAGGCAACTCAAACTATATACATACACACATTTTTAATTAAAAACAAACAAAGACCCCCCCCATTAATCTACAAAATAAACTCGTATTTAAACCACATCTTCAAATTAGATTCAATTCAAAAGGAATAAGGAACTAGAATATTAATCTTTAAAATTAAACCTGATGAACCTCAAGTCAGATTTAATGATCTGAATCCATAACCAAGTAAACTAAAAATTTGCTTTTCTACTTGATACATGTAATCAAAATTGTAACACTGTAAATTTCCAGATAAATATTTCATTTTTTTAAATCACATAATTCAATATCATATTTCCCAAAAACCACAAAATGTATAAGTTGTCAAACACAAGTCCACAATGTTTGATAAAATCCCAGAATCCTCAAAATCATGATCTCTATCTAGTGTGTACAATCAAGCTGGCGCCTTCCCGCGATCCTTTAAAGTACCTGAAACAAATATCACACAACACGGTAAACACGAAGCTTAGTGAGTTCCCCAAAATACCACAAGCAAATAATCAGCCTCTCATGGGCTATATCTCGATAAGGACCCTCCGGCCATGTATCTCAGTGAAGACCCTCCGGTCTCACAGCTCGGGTCGGACCATCCAGTCTGGTACCTCAGTGAAGACCCTCCGGTCTCACAAGAACAGAATAACTCAATAAGGCACAGGAGTAATATACGGCATAAATCACAAAGACAAAATGCATGATATCACATAACTCAGTATAAGCACATAAGACCCTCCGGTCACACAATGATTACCACTCAGGTAAGTATAGCGAGAAGACTCACCTCGCGGAGTAAAGCAATATATCCCACACTCAAATTGCAGGTCTAGACTCTGCCTATACATATCACAATCATCTCTACTCAACAATTATATAAAACGTTAAGCTAACTCCTCTACTAGATCTTCGAAAAGGGTGAAAGACCATTTTACCCCTCCATGCTCTCCAAGGTCCACAACTTGACCCAACCCTAAAAGTCAACGGAAGTCAACAGTCAAGTCAACAGTCCATGTTGTCTCAACTCTTCGAGTGCAGCTCATGAACTCGTCGAGTCCTCAGTACTCAAACATCACGAAAACCCGAGTCAACTCGCCGAGTTGCTAGCCAACTTGTCAAGTCCATGCAGAGTCCAGAAGACCGGGGAAAAACCCTAACCACTCGTCGAGTTGTCTCATCAACTCGTTGAGTTCACTCTGAAACCAGAAACGGGAAAACCCAACTCGACTCGTCGAGTTGGATGCCTAACTCGTCGAGTTCCTCAGCCCTTTCTCATTAGACTCATTCCAGTCGATTCCAATGCTTCAAACTCCAGATCCAACCTCATAGGATGGAGTTACCACATAAAGTTGCTAACTTTACGATCATGCAAGGCCTCCCAAGGCTAAATCACCCAAAACTAAGCTCAAGAAGGGGTTTAGGACATGAAGGCGGGTCAAAGCTTCATAAAGCTTGAAGCTTTATGTACATGGGACCTAGAGAAGTCTAGATCTGAAACTCATACCCTCTGGGCAAGCTTAACTAGAGAATGGCCCTCATTTTGCACCAAAAAGCCCATAAACTCACATAAGAAGAGATCTAAGGAATGGAAAGCCAAGGTAGAGACTTTTTACCTCCCACTGGATGCCAACACAATGTAGATGTTGGATCTACAAGCTTTCCCTCGTTCCAAGCCTATAGGTCCTCAAGCCTCTTCAAGGAATGCTCCAAAAACACACTTTTGGCCTTACACACACTTAGCTAGCTAGGGTTACTCTCTGGACATGAAATGTGGTAAGGGAGGCGGGGTAAAGGACTTAAGGTCCTTTAAATAGGTCGCACATCCGATAAATTAGGGTTTCATCACACAGCCTCAACTCGTCGAGTCCATCCCTCCAACTCGACGAGTAGGCTTCCTAACCCACGCGTCCTGATCAACTCCTACACGACGAGTTGGGGCCAACCAACTCGTCGAGCAGGCCCTTCAACTTGCACTAAATCCTCAAGATTCCACATCCAGGAAATCGGGGTGTTACAATTCTCCCCCACTTGAATTAGATTTCGCCCTCGAAATCACTCTTTATCAACACATCGGTCGAAACAGATAACCCGAGAAGCACCACCGGAAAATCTCATATCATACAACGATCTCCTTCCCAAGACATCCAAAACTGACGGGAACTCCCAACCCGAAAAGGATGGACCCCGTTGCCGATGCAGCATCAGCTCTGACTCTCCAAAACCCGGAAACTGTAGTGGTATATCTCCCCGAAAGACCGCCCATGTAGAATATCACCATACCAACCGCTCATCGAATCTCGGACCGATAACACTCCCAACTCTGATTATCTCATCGCGACTGATGGGGACAAGTATTTGACCATAATTGGTTGTTGATCACTCACGTTAGACATACTAGTCGATCCCGATCGTAACTCAAACGGAGGGGTCACATCTCACCAAGTACCAACCACCGGTACTGCTATTAGAACCAATCTGAAAAATGAATCTCAATACTCTGCTCTCAGACACTAGAAGAATGACCATGCCCGGTCGGAACTATCCTCTAATCTCTACAATCATAAGCCCCAGCTTCCTCTCAATGTTCCTCCCAACACTGAGTACCAGGTCAGCTCCCCCGACCCAAGAGTTGAATCTCCAAGGCTACCCTAGCCCATCTGGTAATACGACTTCACAATCGTCCTATCCAACCGAGCTGACTCATCCAATCACACTGAACACCACAATCACGACGTTCACTTTACCCCAAGCGATTACTACAACCGGTTTGAAATCGCACCCCACATACTGTTGGATTAGGTGTCTAAGCCCATAACTATAATTGGTATGTACTTGACCCGAGAGTAGCATGGTCCGTTTGGGTTGCCTTCACCAGAACAATCTGATAGGATGGATATTTGAGAAAAAGGCTATTTATGATTTACTAATATATTATAAGTATAATATATTAATTGAGAAATCATAATATTTAATTAGTATTGATCAATAATTAATTTGGAATTAATTTAGTGATCAAAAGAGACTAATTAAATTAACGAGGACTGATTATGTAAATCAATGACATATATATTGTTTGGGCTATTGATCCATGATAGGCTAAGTTTATGTAAGTATCCATGAAGAGTTAACCCACATGAGATATGGATCATAACCTAAGTGTATGGATTATGGTTTACCCATGACCCTTGGAATCCTACACTATATAAATGTTACCCCTTAGCCAAAATCGGTACACCTAAGTATTCTAAGAGAATCATAACCGATTTTAGAGTGTCTAGCCTCTCTCTCAAAGTCCTCCTTTGTTCATGATGTTTGTGAACCATTTGAGGCATCACACTTGAGGTGCTAAGCTCTTGAAAGGCCAAAATAAAGAGGTACTCTTCTAACTTGACTTTATGATTTATATGTCAAAATTGTATGTTAGTTGTAGGCTTCATGCTTTGGAAAATTTATTGCATGTATAACTAGAGAAAACTTAGATCCAAAGCTATTAGGGTTGTATGTGCACCATAGGAGTGTTATAGTACACAAAACCCAACAGTGGTATCCGAGTCATGGGTAGTTTTCTTTTATATAGTTGCATTGTTCATTGTTCAAAAGTTGAAGCAAACTAAAAAAGGCCTTCTGCCAGGCTGAACTCGCCGAGTCCATTGATGAACTCGCCGAGTTCATGATGAACCCGACGAGTCCAAAGCCTAGCTCGACGAGTTGCACTGGCAGATGGCAGATTTTCGGGTTTTTTTGGCCTATATTGGATTAGGATCACTACCACAAACTGTTTTGCATCATAAAATTTGCTTTTTCTGATATGGTAGTGATTATGCTCATCCAATCAAAAGATGATTGTCAAAGTTTTAAGATAATTGTTGGTTTATATGATAGACAAAGTTACTTGTAAATTGTTGATTTGATATTATCTTGCTATATGAGTTTAGTTAGATCAATCATGAGTTATATGATAATTTTATTTGTTGAAATTGATCTAAATGTTTTAATGAGTTCCATAACTTGTCCTCAAGTTATGGAACATGAAAAGTCTCATCCATTAAAATAACATTAAACTCATAAGTTATGGAAAATAAGAGTTTTGAAGAGTTTCAAAATTTGCCTTCAAGTTTTGGAATTCGAAAAGTTTAATTAAAAAGTTTTAATTTGAAATATTGAATTCTAAAACATCTAGTAATTGAAAGGTTTCAAAAGATGCAACTCTTGAGTTCATAACTTAAAAATTAATTAAATAGTTTTTAATTTTGAAATTTTAATAACCTAGATGCTTTGAATAGTTCAATTACACCTTATGGACTTTATTAAATTGATTAAACTGTTTAATTAAAAAGAGTATTAATATATCCA